CTGAAAACTTCACACCTGGGCAGTTATAAGTACTGATATATTGCTAAAGTGTGTTTCCTTTGATCTGTTATCAAAATCAAGATTACAAAACACTGATTAAGTTTCGTTTTAATCTTGATCAGTTGGTGTTTTAAACTAAATGATGTGTAAGGTTGGCACCCATGTGTCTGTGGTCTCAGAATTAAGCTGACCATACATGATAGTATTGTTGATTAGTTTGATATGGTAGAATGTTTACATTTCCTTTGTTATGAAGTTTAATGATGAGTCAGCTCAGACAGTTTCAGTGTTACTAGTCATATCAGAGTAAGTCTATTGTTTATTCACTTTTTAAAACTTTTCGTTTAGTTTAGATGTGTTTTCATCAGAATTTTTATAATAAATGCAGATTATATATAGTGTACTTTAAGAACAGATGAGTAATTTGATGTAGTAAGTATGAATCATTTTACATAAACTAGATTTCTATTTCTGGACAACATACAACATATTCATTTCTATTTCTTTTATTTTAAACTTAAAATGCAATGAATTTATTAGACATAGCATAAGATATTTGTAATATTACTCTGGCAAATCTATGTCAGCAGTATATTTATTATCTTCCAGGATTACTGGTTCACTCTTGTTCTTGCACAGATTTTGTGCAGATGTTTTAAGAAAGTGAATAATTTCAATTTACTTGATTATGTCATCTTCATAACAAAAGGCTTTTTACAATTTAATGGCCTTCCTTTGGAACATAATTGGGTTAATTTGTATGTAATTAAACAAAAGGTTTTGTTGTTTAGATCTGTCAAGTGAAACGGATTGCCATGTAATACACTTGTAGTTTATAAAGTAGTTTATGGTGTTTAGTTTGATCCTCCCTAATTCTTTTGAAGAAAACAAATTGCTGGTGATTTATAAACCTATGTCTATGTTTATATAGTAGTTATTTGCAATAAGTTTCCTGCTTTTGTTAAAGACAAATTATACTTTAATACCAGATACAGTCTTCAGATGTATATAAGGTTGGTAATAATATTTTCAAAATAACCAAGGACCCAATAATCTTTGCTACATAATTTTGTGTCTGATCATGAATTGTCTCCCTTGTTTAGTAACTTGCATTGCAGCTTTCATGAAAAAAACAAAGCAAACACCTGTTTGTAGCTATATCAGTTTTATGGTAACTATTCACTAAGGTAAAGATCCCTCAAGTTATTTTATCACATTCATGTAATAATTACAAGTCTTTATAACCTGAAGGTTTTTAGGATAACTAAATAGTTTGGTGTAAAACAGATTTTGAAGAGAAAAGCTGTTTTATTTTAGAAACCATAACCACCTTTTAAGATCAATTAAAAGATTGTCTTGTTTTTATTATCAGTTTTAATAGTTTTAGTGAAAATATGTATTTGCACTTCAATAATGGCAATTACATGCAAAGTAGTTTGAATTAATACTTTGAATGAATTAGAAAATCATTGCTAAGTGACTGGGGAGATTATTAATTACAACATAATGTAAAAATGAAGGAGAAAAGATTTCGACTGTTCATGGTTGTAATGAGTAGGGTAACTTATATATAACTCTGAAATATTGTTTATGGATTACAATTATAGTTTGGGGTAAGTTATGTATCAGATTCAAAGTTCAAGACATTATTTAAATCTATGCAAAGAGTGAATTTTGTTTTTACTTCATTTTGTATTGCATTTTTGACACTCAAAATGAAAATAACTGTAAGAGAAGTTGTAATGTTACATATCTGAACAATATGTCAAATTCCATATGTAAACAAAGACATTCAAATATTCTTTATTCTAATTTATAGCAAAGTTTATTTGGATAGTTTGACAACATTTCAATCAAAATTTGATTTAAATTGGATAATTTTCTTGAGGGTATGGAATTAATTATGTAGTTATCAATCTTCTATTACTCAATCTCCACACACCTGATAGAAATAGCCTACAGGTTTATAATCTGTATCAGACATCTTAATAATTAGGCAGAAATTATAACATTAAAGGAGTAATTAAATACCTATCAAAGTCATTCACCTGTTCAATACTCAATTTGGTGTATTCTTGACCAATTTTCGATTTTATCATTTCCTAAATGTTGCTTTGGAAACTAGCTAAGGAAATTGTTGGAAGTTAGCATAAAAAATTAGTACTTGAAACTTCATTATCATTCAAAACAATATCAATTTATCTTAAGGTTTCTATGAAATGTCACAAACAGATTCTTAGATATAAGAAGATGTGGTATGAGTGCCATTGAGACAACTCTCCATCCAAGTCACAATGTGTAAAAGTAAACCATTATAGGTCAAAGTACGGCCTTCAACACGGAGCCTTGGCTCACACCAAACTGCAAGCTATAAAGGGCCCCAAAAATGACTAGTGTAAAACCATTCAAACAGGAAAACCAATGGTCTAATTTATATAAAAAATGAGAAACGAGAAACACTTATGAACCACATCAACAAACGACAACCACTGAACATCAGGTTCCTGACTTAGGACAGGTGCACTTGTCTATTTAACTGATCATGATGGGATGGATGTTTAGTTGGTCAAATTTTGATCAAGTAAGACAGATGAATTAAATGTAAAATATTTCACTTATTTTTATACGCCCGTTTACGGGACGTATTATGGTATACCGTTGACCGTCTGTCCGTCCGTCCGTCGTCAACATGTCGGACATTAACTCAAAAAAGCTTTAACCAATATGCATTAAACTTTGGTGGATTGTTTATATCTATTGACGTGAGCTCCCTTTCGTTTTTTATAAATTTCAGATTTACCGTTTCCGAGTTTTGGGGTTTTATTCATTTAAAAAGGGGGGATTGTCCAGTTTTTCGACAATAACTCAAGAATGCTTTCACCAACTTGCAAGAAATTTTGATGAATTGTTTATTTCTATTGACATCAGCTCCCTTTTGGATTTTTATAAATTTTAGATTTTACGTTTTCGAGTTACAGGTTTTTTTCATAAAAAAAGGGGGATTTTCCAGTTTTCGGACAATAACTAAAAAATGCTTTCAGTAGTTCTCATGAAACCTTAGTGAATTGTTTATATCTGTTGATGTAAGTTCCCTTTAGAATTTTATAAATTTTAGATTTTACATTTCTGAGTTATGGGGTTTTATTCATTAAAAAAGGGGGGATTTCCCAGTTTTTGGACAATAACTCAAAAATGCTTTCAGCAGTTCTCATGAAACTTTGGTGAATTATTTATAGCTATTGATTTAATCTCCCTATTGATTTTCATTAATTTCAAATATGACATTGAGAAGAAATTGAACTTTATTTGTTTATATAGTCTGACAACAGATTTACTAAGTAGTGCGCAACAGCACAGTGTATTGCACAACAGCAAGAAATCTTTAATTGAATATAAATTCAATTCATATAACCAATTTCACGTTCTTTGACTACATTTATTCAGAAACCTATAATATGTCAAATATTTAATTACAATCCAAATTCAGACCTGTATCAAGCTTGAATATTGTGTCCATTTTTGCCCCAACTGTTCAGGGTTGGACCTCTGCGGGCGTATCCAGCTTGATATCAGCGAAGCAGTTTATTTGTAATGGATCTGCATATTTATTTATGACAAAAAATGTATGGCTTGAAAATACTTCTTTAACTCAATTCCCCAAGAAAATTCTGGAAAATCAGACATTTTCAACCTACTTTAGTCTAATTTTGGACTATTTATAACCATGATAATGTGTCATTGTTTTTCTGTGACATGGACTGGCTGTTGAAATCAAGACTAAAGGCATGATTGGGGGCAAATGGGTTATAGGAATACGAAATGAAAAAGCCACTTGAGTCATCAGAGTTCATAGATGCCACAAAAAAGAACATGAATTATGCTTGCCATTTATTGATTGATCGATTGTTGGTGCTTTATTACCAATTTCAGCACTCTTGGCTTCGCCAGTTTTTATTGGTGGAGGAAAAATATTGTCTGGAGAAAAACCTACTGACTTAAGCCAAGAAAACTGGCAATCTTATTCCATTAAGATCAGAGTTGAATGCACCTGCCACATGCAGGATTCGAACTCACGACCTCAGTGTTGACAGGCTAGGGATTGCTGTACGTAGACCTAGACCTTTGATCCTAGGTTGTTATTTTCTTTTGAGCTTGAAAATCAATAGGATATATAAGATGTCTTACATGATGATATTTTGTATCAATATAGAAATAAGAAGATGTGGTATGCTTGCCAATGAGACAACTCTCCACAAGAGACCAAATGACATAGAAGTTAACAAATTTGGTGATTGATTAGTTCAAGCTTGTCTAAAAGTGTAATCTACAACTTGTTGGTTAGATTTTTTTCTGGACCCTTATCTTCTGCTTGAAATTGACCTCTGACTTTAAAAATCAATAGGGATTATCTTCTCTTAATCATTCGTTGTTGGTATGGTATGTTACTTGTACAGTTGGACAGACAGCCATTATCCCCTGCCTCCCCATTGTTGACTTTTGTTTAACATTTTCTGATTATATACATGAAACAATGCAATTAAAAAATAAGATAATTCAGAAGGAAAATGTATATATCTGGGTTTGTTGATTTCTGTATGTTTTTTTAAACTCAAACATTTTTTATGGCTTAAAGAAGATTATTCTTTATTTGAATGAACTTTTGTATTGCTAGCAGTCTTGCTTTCTTATACAACAAAACCATTTGATCATTTCTTTGCACTCATTTAAAGAAATGTCAATTTAGCAGTTAATGCAGATTGTTTATAGTAAATGGAAATTCTGGAGATTATATTAGTTATTTACTGTTGTTACTGGCGATTCATCAACTTGTTTCATAATATTGAATCAGACCTGTCAATAGATAATTACTCAGAAATCTATTTTATATGAAACAGACGATTATGTAACTTGTCAGAAATTTGACATTTGGTTTACAATGTTGAACTGGATAGATTTGCACTAATATATAAATTATTAATAACTTATGGATTACAGGTGAACAGTTAGCTGAAATTCATGGAGGATTGTTTTGTCAGTCATAATGATAAAATGTGATAATTTAATAAAACCTTGCTCTTCATTTTAATTACTCCCGCTGATTTGATTATCAAGAACAGTTTCAGTAGGATGGGAAGCATTTAACATTAACTGAAAAAAATATAGAAATGGAGTATTGAACATGATAATTGTTTAGCACTGGAAATTGAAAATGAGATTTTCTTTCGGGAGAGGTTTTTCGTTCTGATTCAATTACACACAAATTTAGTAAGGAGAATATTGAATGATTATCAAATAGCTTAAGAGGAAATTTTGTGGATTGATTAGTTCTGATCATGTGATAGCATAGTTTAGGAGTAGATGTTTGTCTCCATTGCTATTTAATATATGTAAATTCATATTAGTTTATCATTGGATTATTAAGTTTGAAGTGGTTTAAGTAAGTAAGTACCTGTAGTAGATTAATATCAGCCTAGCCATTTGAATATATTTCACATCATCCTAGCCAATTGATATTATTTTAGTAATTGGAAGAGTATACTTCATCAGATTATTTAGATATGAAATCAAATTAGTTACAACAGATATATATTTATCAGGAAATCTAACTGAAATTTCATTTAAATTATTTATGTTCACCAGCACTGACACACATTGATGACTTAATGATCTGATTATTATGTGAACACTAGATTGATCATTAAACAAAGCAAGGATATATTACAACAAAAACCCTAAACAAGGAAATCAACATTGTACTGTAAACAAAAAACTCTTCTATCTTTAGAAATGATCACGATTATTTACAAATTTAAATATGGAGTTAAATGTTGAATCTCATTTTTACTTGAATTTAGTATTTTGAATTCATCATGCCAAGTTTTAAGTGATTCTTGGGTGCTGGATTTGTTTTGTGTGGACTTATGGAATTAGATGTGTCATCTAATCATGTAGATATACTACTTTGTTATGTTTGAAACCTTTTGTAATTACTGATTTATTAATTTCAGATGACCAGCTTCTAAAACTAGTATTAAACCTTAGGGAGATTTGACTACAATGGATGGAAGAGTTCTGTTAAGAAGGTTGTTGCAGTCCACACCAACAATATACGATGATGGGAATCCAGAGGAAAATTCAACTGTTATAATTCCCTCAACACCAAAAACTGTAACACATACACTTAAGTCATGTGACCACATAGATACGGATTATGATGTAGCACTAGCGATAATCTGTGCCATGAGTTTTATTTTTGGCATAATATACACATTCTTTGGTTAGTATGATACTTTGTTACAAGAGGTTCAAATAGAATCTTATCAGGGATAAAACTGCTCATCAGAAAATAAAATCAAAGGAATTCACAGACAAATTTCTCTAAAATATGGTAGTTTAATGTGCTAAATAGAAGACAAATTGCAATCCATGAATGGTTTTTATGGAGAAATCAATCTGGAGAACAATACTTTTTAACTTTTAGTACAAATAAAAAGAATTGTAGGGTAAATCTCAATGTGTCAGCAATACTAAAATAATCTTAGAATACTCCTGATAACTCTGGCTAAGTATAATAGTATCTTAGAATACTCTTCTGATAATTCTGGCTAAGTATAATAGTATCTTAGAATACTCCTCTGATAACTCTGGCTAAGTATAATGGTATCTTAGAATACTCCTGATAACTCTGGCTAAGTAATATAGTATCTTAGAATACTCCTGATAACTCTGGCTAAGTATAATAGTATCTTAGAATACTCCTCTGATAACTCTGGCTAAGTATAATAGTATCTTAGAATACTCCTCTGATAACTCTGGCTAAGCATAATAGTATCTTAGAATACTCCTCTGATAAATCTGGCTAAGAATAAATGTGATTGGTTTGCCTTCAAATATTCATATGAATACATGTCAATACAGGGTATATGTCAATGAGACAGCAACCAAACAACACCATGAAATTAGAAAAGATGCTCACAATTTTGAGGTTCCCCAATGCAGATAAACATTCAATTAGGGACATCTTCTAACTATTTAATCATTTATGCATAAAAGTATTTTTATGCCCCCGCCGTAGCGGTGGGGGCATTAAGTTTTACCCTTGTTTATATCAGTATCCCTGTTAGGGGAGTTAGATACTGTTTGAAATATTTTCCTTGGAGCTTTTTCCTAAAGATACTTAGACATAAAACCCTTTAAATAATCATGATAATACAGATTATGTTTCAAATGAAAATAGCACAAATTAAAAGAATTAGATTAACATGGATCATAAGACAAGAACAAACACCAATGGCGTTAGTTCCAAATGGAATTTGACAAAAGAAATTTGATGTATACCTCAACAGTCAGGGGTACTACTTGTACAAGTTATCTTTATTTACTTGAAGAAGTAAATAAAATATACTTATATAAGTTAATTATAATGTTTGAATAATCTCCCCTTAATTTTCTCAAAAATTTACTTGTATAAGTAAATTTTTTTTACAATCCACAAAAATTCTCAAGTTTTGAGATGTAAAATCATGTCTTTAACAATTTTTCTCAGGTTAGCTCATAATTTTTGATAAGAGTTCAATGTTTCATCTCATTAATTCAACAAAGAAACTGATTGAGCAAAGATCTTAAGTATTTGCGCAAGGCCTTCAAAAATTGCTCCTTAGGGGCTTGTAAATGAGCAGTGTTCGGAAGATAACAGACAAATGAGATTTTCATTGTCCATGAAATTACACTTAAATGTTTAGTAAAGACATCTGCAAAGGACAGACAATTGAAAATTGTGTTAGAGCAAAGAAGTTCTAAGAATTCAAGAAAAGAAGATAGGATGACTTTTTTACTTGTATAAGTAAAAAAATCTGAATGTCTAAGGGACATAATTAGGCCAAAAAATAATTTACCTATACAAGTAAATAAAATACACTTGTATAAGTATCCTACAAATTTACTTATATAAGTATATTAATATTTACTTCTTCAAGTGAATAAAAATTACTTGTACAAGTAGTACCCCTGACTGCTCAATGAAACAGCAACCCAAAAATAGCATTGCATCGGATACTTCACTGATAACTCTTGCAAGTGTAAGAAAAGATATAAATTATAAATATGATTTGTTTGCCTCAATATTTATTGTAAGTTTTGATATTGATACAAGATATACAGATTATATGTCACTTAGACATTAAGAGGTCAGCAGACAGGTCTTTCAACAGCAGAAAACTTAATCACCTTAGTCTAAATACTCACAAATTGGGAATAACTTTAAAAGCGATTGAACAAAGATATTTCAAACACCAAGTGTTTTGAAATTAAAAAAAAAAGATATGTCGAAGTATTTTTTTTTGTTATAACATTATGTTTATTGTTTTGCAGGTTACAGATTTTTTAAAGCTGTTATGTTCCTAACAGGATTCATATTTATATCAGTTCTTACATATTTAATACTTTCGGAACAGAATATTTTACCCCTGGGAGGAGAAATAGGAGTAGCAGTAGGTGCTGGACTTATTCTTGGCATAATAACAATGTTAGTGCAATATATTGGACTATTCCTCACAGGATTTCAGTTTGGATTATCTATTGCCATGTGCATTTTAGTTGTTTTAGAACAATTTTACCATCCAACCACACGATGGATTCCTATTGGTATTTTATGTGGAGTTGGAATATTTTTTGCTGCATTGACATTGAAATTCCAGAAAACATTTACAGTTTTAGGAACTAGTATATTTGGTGGTGCTTTAATGATATCTTGCCTGGACTACTTTATAGAAAAGTTTACAATGTTAATATATATATGGGAGAGAGCTAAAGGTGATTTATCTGACCATGTGTGTTGGTACAGCTGGGTGTTGTTAGGTTGTTGGCCGTTTTGTTTTATTGTTGGTGCGGTGGCCCAGTGGAGAATTACAGGACAAGGTTATGATCATAGAGATAGTAAGTTTAGTTGAATGGTTATTGAGATTTAAAATATACAATGATTATAATGTTTTCAAAAATGTATATTATATTGCAACAGACATAATACCTGAAACTTCAATGACTAGTCCAGTAGTTATTATATGTTTCAAATTGATGCTTTCTTTAGCAATGACAACCTATCAAATTTTTTATTATTGATATTGCCTTTTAACAGTTCTACACAATTTTTGTTCATACATGTCATATGACCCTCATATTTAAAGAAAATCACATACGATACAGTTACAGGGGAGGTAACTATGTCACTAACCTAAAATTATTTTTCATGACATCAAACTGTGACATATTGGGAAAAGATGTATTTAATGACTGGATTTAATGTTGAGCTTGAAAATGAGTTCATGGACTCTTCTTCACTAAAATGAAATTTGGCTTGGTTATGTATGAAGATTATTTGTACCAAGTTTTATGAACAAATCACCAATGATTTTTTTTAAATTAGATAATTAAATATACAACAGAGAATGCTGTTTTTTTTCCTAAAATCATGAAAATTTTATAAAAAGAGAATTATTTCCAAAGAATTGTTACTTTAATTTAGAGCATAGTTATGTAAACATATGGTAAAGTAGATATTCCAAATGTTTTTACAAAATTTGGCTTGTGTTTTTCTTTTGAAATAAAAAAAGTTAGGTATGTCATTCGATTGGACATGTTTGATAGAAATGTCCAAGAATCCCAATTTTTATACGACCGCAAAAAATTAAAATTTTTTTGGTCGTATATTGGTATCACATTGTCGTCAGAGTCGTCAGAGTCGTCCGAAGACAGATGGTTTCCGGATAATAACTTTAGTATAAGTAAATAGAAATCAATAAAATTTTAACACAAGGTTTATAACCACTAAAGTAAGGTTTGGATTGATTTTGGGGGTTATGGTCCCAACTGTTTAGGAATTAGGGGCCAAAAAAAGGGCCCAAATAATCATTTTTGTACTTTCCAGACAATTACTTGTATTAAAGTGTATGAATCTCTCTGAAATTATACCACAAGTTTCCATACAACAAAGGGATGGTCAGGCTTGACTATGGGGGGTTATGGCTCAAACCATTTAGGAATTAGAGGCAAAAAAGGGGAAAAACAAGTTTTTTTCTGGTTAAAGGACAATTAAGACAATTTAAAGCAGTCTAAGGGAGGTAATCCAATCCCAATTTAAAACAACAATGTCTGATTACCTCCCTTACACTGCTTGTAAATTATGTATTAACGAATGATGATTGTCTTGAGGTGATTAGCTGTCAATTTATTTTTAAAAGTTACTATTAATTAATATTAATTTTAGCCATGTTCGCCATGACTATGTATGTCATTTTATATTTTAAGACTTGTATGATGTATTTAAAAGGGTAATTATGGTTGCAAATTTTCTTAAAATTTGAATTGAGATAATAACTATTTCTTGAGGGAATGATTTTTTTTTTGGAATAAGGGAGAGGGGGAGGTGAAAAAAATTTTTTTTTTTTTTGGGGGGGGGACTATTTTTTCTCATTACAGATTTCAGAAATTAAAAAGAAAATTTCTTCAAATATTTTTTTGGGGGGGTTAATATTCAACAGGATAGTGTATTGCACAAAAGCAAAAAAATGGGGTCAATTTTATTTAGGGGGGGGGGGGGGGGGAGGGGGTCAATTCGCAACAGCAAAGTGTATTGCACAAAAGCAAAAAAATGAATATAAATTCAAATCATATAACCAATTTTTAAGTTCTTTGACTACATGTACAGTTATTCTGTGGCAGAAACCTATTATGTGTCAAATATTTAATTACAGTCCAAATTCAAACCTGTATCAAGCATGAATATTGTGTCCATTTTAAATTTGGCCCCAACTTTTCAGGGTTGGACATCTGCGGTCATATCCAGCTGCGCTCAGCGAAGCAATTTATTAGTAAATGTGTAAATTTCAACCCAATTAATTTTTTTATTACATTTGTCAATTGACTAGGTGAAGAATAGCAGGTATTCAAATTTTCATAAACAAAATACTGTGGGATCAAAACTATATTGTATGCCCTTAAAAGGGGTCTAACATACATGTATACAAAGTTTAATACATTTTCATTTTTCTATAAATCAGGGATCTGCCACTGGTCTGTATATTGTGTGTTGACAAATATGCTCAAATATAAATCCCTGGCATGCGCTGGAATTAATCCAGATACACTTGTATTGGTCCCACCCACCTCCTCATGGGTTTCTGAGAGAATTACATGTAATGTATGTGTGTATGTGATATGCATCCAGCAGGCAAAGGCTATACTCTGGTCCATGCTCATAACACAATTGGATTTAAGACCAGACCCTGAAGAGCTCATGTTTACTGAAGCCAAACAGAATCTCGTACCTTAGCCGTTATGCACAGGCTGGACCAGATAAACAAATATAAGTTGAAATGAGACAAAATACTGGTTTGGGCAAACTAACCACAGTTTTATTAATTTCTTTCATTATATAATAAACAATGCCAATGAACAATGAAAGAATCATAAAAAGTCAATTGTTTCGCAAATATCAATTCACTGATAAGTCTGTGGTACTCCAAACACTTGCCCAAACCAGGTACAATGTAGGAATAGTGTAGTGATATGTTAAATAGAAAGTTTAAGTGCATTAGCAAAAGTTTTCATAACATGCAATCTGTAGGAAGGAGAGGGGTCCAAATAACCCTTATATGCATCACTTTTCCAGTCTCCCTGAGACTGAATTAGTTCCCCTGGAACACCACACTGAAAGGCAAACGTGGCACATCCTCTACGAAAACTATGTCCAGAATAAAGAGAGGCGTCAAAACCAATAACTGATAGGACAGTTTTAAGTCTAGCCAAAAACACTGCATAGGTTAAGGGGATAGTGTCTTCCCCATGTCGATATAAAAAGGCCGGAGTAGGGGTTTTGACAGCTGGTACCATTTTAAAATTTAATAATAAAGCCTGTGAGGGGCATAAAGGAGAATTTTTTATAGCAGGAAGTGGAATATCTGAACAACGTTCTGCAAACTGGATGGTCTTAGATTTGGAAATGCGCAATAGGACACCATCTTTCTGAAAAAATACATTATGTCTGCTTAAATGGCGATCAGGGTCAAAATCATTCACAGATGGTGTCAACAAATTAGACTTCCTGAAAAAGGAAAAGAAAGCAACAAGGCAAGCTGCCCAAAACGCCACATCTTTAGTATCGTTAAAGGATATAACGGCAAAAATTTTAAACAAAATCTTGGGGGTAATTGGCAACTTATCTGTGTTAAAAGTGATCAAGAGCGCGCTTGTGATAAAACAAAGACTGCAATTAACAATCTGATTGGATAATTTGAATGAATCAAGAACAATGATTGGCTAGCATCCTAGATACCAATCATACCAATTAGTAAAAGATTAGGGCTGAAGAAATTATGATTTCAATCATGATTGGATAAAGGGAACTTCCTGGAGACAGTAATTAAATAAGTAAGCAAAATACTATATCCAATTTCCCTCTGTATTAATACTTTATTAAATGAAAATATCACATTAATCTGATAGTACACTACATAAGATAAAAAAAAAAAGGTTTATTTTTGTATCTATAATTCAATACACAATCTATGATAATGTAAACACTGTCCTCTTGTTGCATGTTTACAAAGGTGTTTATGTGGTAGTACACATGTTCCCTATGATATGATCTTTCTAAATTTAATGCCAAATTACAGTTTTGACCCCAATTTCACGGTCCACTGAACATAGAAAATGATAATGCGAGTGGGGCATCCATGTACTATGGACACATTCCTGTTTCTGAAATATTACAAACATGTGAACAATTCTTACATATAATATAAAAATAAGAAGATGTGGTATGATTGCCAATGAGACAACTCTCCACCAGAGACCAAATGACATAGAAGGTTAGCAACTGAAATATAAAAATAAGGAGATGTGGTATGATTGCCAATGAGACAAATATCCACGAAAGTTCAAATGAAGTGGATGTTGGCAATTATAGGCAACCATACAGCCTTCAACAATGAGAAAAACCCATACCGTATAGTCGGCTATAAAGTTCATTGTATGGCCTTAAGCAATGAGCAAAACACATACCACATAGCAAGCTAAAAAAGGCCCTGAAATGACAAATGTAAAACAATTCAAACCAGAAAGCAAATGGTCTGATTTATGTACAAAACAATAAGCAATTTAAAACAAATATGATATACAGCAGGCTCCTGACTTGGGGCAGGCACATACAGAATGTGGTAGGGTTAAACATGTTTGCGGGCGAGCCAACCCTAAAATATTTTCTACAAAAAAGTTTTCACCTTCGACAAAAGTCGAAGTATGCAAGACATAAGTATTACCATCTGGCGGCAGCGACATAAACTATTTGTATAAAGTTTAAGATTTCAGAAGGTAGAAGACTTGAATGATTCATATCTTGTATGCAGATACCTTATGTTACCAAATTTCCATCCGTCATATGTCCATTGTCCTCGACCACATTTTCATGGTTGAAAAGAAAAGAAAAAAAAAGTTTTTTTGTTATGTAAATTTCTCACTAAATATGAGTAATAGGATACCGGTAAATATATTGGGTATATGGCTTCCTTGCAACGTCTTCATGTCAGTCAGACAGGGTTTACTTGACCTAGACCTCATTTCATGGATCAGTGATCAAGGTTAAAGTTACATTATCAGATACCATGAGCAGTAGGTCAACTATATATGGTGTATGGAATGATTGTAAAGGGTACATGTCAGTCTGGCACGTTTCATCTGACCTTGACCTCATTTTCATTATTTGAAAAATGTTAAGTTTTTGTGTTTTCATGTTTTTTTTAAGTATTATAAGCAATAGGCCAACTATATTATGTGAATAGAATGATTTTAAGATACATATATGTCGGTCTGGCAGGTATCATCTGACCATTAACCTCATTTCATGGTTCATTGGTCAATGTTAAGTTTTTGTGTTTTGGTCTTTCTTTGAAGTACTTTAACATGTTTAAACATTAGGTTAACTATATTATGTGAATTGAATGATTTTAAGATGTATATGTCGGTCTGGCAGGTATCATCTGACCATTAACCTCATTTCACGGTTCATTGGTCAATGTTAAGTTTTTATACAACCGCAAAAAATTTTGCGGTCGTATATTGGTATGACGTTGGCGTTGTCATTGTCGTCACCGTCGTCCGAAGACACATTGGTTTTCGCACAATAACTTTAGTTTAAGTGAATGGATCTCTATGAAATTTTACCATAAGGTTCAATACCACAAAAGGAAGGTTGGGATTGATTTTGGGGGTTATGGTACCAAGTATTAAGGAATTAGGGACCAAAAATGGGCCAAAAATAAGCATTTTTGTAACTTCCAGACAATAACTTGTGTTAGTGTATGGATCTCTCTGACATTGTACCACAAGGTTCCATATCTCAAAGGGAATGCTGGGATTGATTTTGGGGTAATTGCCTCAAAATTTTAGGAATTAGGGGCAAAAAACAAGCATTTTTCTAGTTTCATGACAATAACTTGTGTGTAAGTGTATGGATCTTTCTGAAATTGTACTACAAGGTTCCATATCACAAAGGGAAAGCTGAAATTTAGTTTGGGGGTAATCATGGTAATTGCCCAAAAAGATTTGGAATAAGGGGCCAAAAATAAGCATTTTTCTATTTTCCAGACAATTACTTGTGTTCAAGTGTATGGATCTCTCTGAAATTGTACTGCAAGGTACCATACCACAAAGGGAAGGCTGGGATTGATTTTGGGGGTAATTGCCTCAAAAGTTTAGGAATTAGGGGCAAAAAACAAGCATTTTTCTTGTTTTAGGACAATAACTTGTGTGTAAGTGTATGGATCTTTATGAAATTGTACAACAAGGTTCCATATCACAAAGGGAAAGCTGGTTTTGAGTTTTGGGGTAATTGCCCTAAACGTTTAGGAATTTGGGGCCAAAAAGGGGCCAAAAACAAGCATTTTTCTAGTTTCAGACAATAACTTGTGTTCAAGTGTATGGATCTCTCTGAAATTGTACTGCAAGGTACCATACCACAAAGGGAAGGCTGGGATTGAGTCATGGGGTGATGAATTATAAGGGGGTTCAAAAATTGGGGGGAAGGGATTTTTTTTCGGTCCAAAATTCAACTTAGTTTGATTTTAACAAAAATTGAATTCTTGGGGTTCTTTGATATGCTGAATCTTAACATGTATTTAGATTTTTGATTTTGGGCCCAGTTTTCAAGTTGGTCCAAATTGGGGTCCAAAATTAAATTTAATTGATTTCAACAAAAATTAAATATACGGGGTTCTTTGACATGCTGAATCTAACCATGTATTTAGAATTTTTATTTGTGGGCCACACTATCAAATTGGTTCGAATTGAGGTCAAAATGTTCAAAATTAAACTTTTGTTTGATTTCATCAAAAATTGAATTATTGGGGTTCTTTGATATGCCAAATCTAATCGTGTATTTAAATTTTAATTTTGGGTCCCGTTTTTTAAATTGGTCTACATTAAGGTCCAAAGGGTCCAAAATTTAACTTAGTTTGATTTGAACAAAAATTGAATTCTTGGGGTTCTTTGATATGCTGAATCTAACATGTGTTTAGATTTTTGATTATAGGCCCAGTTTTCAAGTTGGTACAAATTGGGGTCCAAAATTTAACTTCGTTGGATTTCAACAAAAATTGAATATATGGGGTCCTTTGATATGCTGAATCTAATCATGTATTTAGATTTTTAATTTTTGGGACCCTTTATCAAATTGGTCCGCATTGAGGTCATAAGGGTCCAAAATTAAACTTTGTTTGATTTCATCAAAAATTGAATTCTTTGAATTCTTTGATATGCTGAATCTAACCATGTATATATATTTTGGTTATTGGACCATAATAGGTAAATTAAAAAAATTTAAGTTCTTAGACCACATTCATTCTGTGTCAGAAACCTATGCTGTGTCAAATATTTAATCACAATCCAAATTCAGAGCTGTATCAAGCTTGAATGTTGTGTTCATACTTGCCCCAACTGTTCAGGGTCCACCTCTGCGGTCGTATCAAGCTTGAATGTTGTGTTCATACTTTCCCCAACTGTTCAGGGTCCACCTCTGCTGTCGTATCAAGCTGCGCCCAGCGGAGCATTTTATTGTGTTTTGGTTTGTTTTTCAAATATATAAGCAGTAGGTCAACTATATTTGGTGTATGAAATAATTGTAAGGTGTACATGTATGTCTGGCATGCATTATCCGACCTTGACCTCATTTTCATGGTTCATTGGTCAATGTAAAGTTTATATGATTTGGTCTGTTTTCGATTTTCATTAGCAATAGGTCAACTATATTTGGTATATTGAATAGTTGTAGGGTGTACATGTCTGACCTTGAACCATTGCCATGGATATTTAGAAATGTTAAGTTTATGTAATACCGATAGTAAAACCTTTATCATTAAGACTTTCAACATAAAATCAATGGCAGTAAAGCAGGAGAGACATTTCAGCGTGTGCATTCTTATTTAAAAATTGAGTGACAAATAAGTGAAATAAGCTGCACATTTTATAAAATATACTCTCGATATAATTAGTTCCTCAGGTATAAAATATATGCTTCACCTTGTTAAGTTGGATGTCTATTTGTTGTCATATCTGTACTTTCTTATAAACAGCTTCACAGGGTAGAAAGAACAAAAAAGTGAGTTTACAGAAAGTGAGGAAACGACAACATGAACCTGACACACAGTCCCGATACAGACACTTATATAAAGCTAGACGAACTACTGGAGATGTTATTTCACAGGTTAGTTTACTCCCTTTTTTAATTTTTAATTTTAAACACATTAAAACATATACATGACATAAAAACAAAATAATTACATGCATCGATATCAGACTCCAAATATTAAAAAAATTAATACTTTTTCAATTATTTTCATGGGTACCAATTTTCCTGGATTGAGAAAATATAGTTATTTTTTATGGATTCTTGATTGTGTTGTTTCTGCCTTAAAGCTTCTAGAAGAACTATATTTTGTTTAACACTTTAGTTTGTGGTTCACTTATACTGAAAGTCCACGAAATCTAGAAAACACATGATGAGAAGAAGATCCCTGTTGAAACTGAGATCACTTTTTCTAAGGTCAAGGATATAATTTAGAGCTTTTGAAATATATTTTAAGTTTGATTGATTGATTGTTGGTTGCTTAACATCCAGTGGCAAATATTTCATGCATGTTCAGGACGAGAACAAAATAATAAATTTAAATTATACAATAGGTAGGTCCTGTAATAGAGGCCGTACAGGACGAAGTCAGGGAAATTTGGACTACCACGGGAAAATGAGGGTATATTGGATAGGGACAAAAATTTAGCCTTGCAACAGGCCACCTATGGACCCCTCAAAGAGTTGTTGAAAGAATTCTTAATGTGCAAAGAGCGTGGCACTCTCTTTACACGAGATATAGGATTAAACGTCCCCATTCTGACCGAATGTGGCTGCAAACTTGTTCATCCCGCACATTTGAGGGTTATACTGCCATTCAGAGCAGGGATGGGCACGATTACTGACAAATGTAATCGATTAATAATCGATTACATGAAGGTATTTTGTGCAATTGATTAATAATCGATTACTCAGATTTTTGTATGTAATCGATTGCAATCGATTACTTTATCAAAAGTAATTACATTACTTTTCGATTACTGTCAATTACATGCTTCAAAATTTAAAAAAAAATAAAGTAAGTTAAACACTATCATGTTGATCAACGTTTGTATAGTAGATGTTTAGAACTTTACCAAAAAAACAACATTTAAATCATTGTTTCCAAATTATTAGTTGACAGTTGTTATCTAGATGGAATCTCTTACTGAGGATCAGAATTATTAAAAAAATCTTGAAATTTGACTTTCAACATGAATTAGAGATGACATTGCATTCCATCAATCACTTATATATATGTTTAAAGTTTTTTTCAATAATTTTGCTTTCGTACTGACTTAACTTAGCTTTTTTGTTTTTATTCATTAAAAGCAGGTATATTTTAGCATAGTTATTTACAATGTTGGAAGTTTTCTCAGAAGAAAATATAAAAAAGTAGAATTATTAATTAGTTCAGCTAATTTTAAGGATCAAAATTTATAATTATAATGACAAACATGATTTAATCCTTTTGTTTGAAAACCACCTTAATTATAGGTTATAAAACTGCGAATGGAGTACAATTTATAACCTGGGGCAAAATAATGTAAATCTCCATCTTAATTAGACAAACAGTAATTGAAATAAAAACAAAGTATGTGTCTTATATAGTGATTAGAAGACTTTGATCATCTGATTAGTAAAGACAAGTTTGTTAAGATTTTTTTATTCTATAATAAAATTATAAACAGTATATATTTATAGTGTCAACGAGGGATACATGTATCTTTTTCTGAAAAGAATTTCAATGCATAGGCATTGGTTCATTGTTAAAAGGATTTTGTGTACTTATTTTTCATATACATGTATATCTTAACATTATAAGAAATCAACTGTTTTATCTATTCTAAGCTTAAATCTTATTGAAAATTATGCTTTTAGGAAATTTAATACAAATAACCTTACTACTTTAAGGAAGTACAGAACTTAACTTAAGACACATTTCTTATTTTAAATCCATTTTCTTATTTTAATATAAAAGGTGTTGACTTATTGACAAGCACATCAATCCATTTGTTTCAAAAGCTAGATATAAAGTAAATTATGGTAGGGGATCTGGTTGATCATAATGCAGCTTGAGACAATAGATAGAAATATAAAGGCAGTTGATAAACTCTTAAGTCATATCAGTACTTCAAAGTGATGAATACATACATGTTTTCATTTAAAATACTAGGTTATATTTCATCAAACTATTTTACTAAAGTAATCGAAATGTAATCGAAAGTAATCGATGATTACATCATGATTTTTGCTGTAATCGATTAAATTACGATTACATGTAATCGAAAATGTCTTCGATTACAGATTACAGTTGATTACTGGAAAAAATGTAATCAATTACAATCGATTACGATTACAGATTACGATTACCCCATCCCTGATTCAGAGGAAGACCAATGGTGACCATATCTCTATTCCCCTGTCACCCTTGGAGGGTATTTTAAGTTTGTCCTTCCTTGTTGCTTATGTATCATTTTCTGTAGTTATGTATTTATTATAAAGCACTCTAGACATTTGGTGGTCCTTTGTCTTAATTTGCCAGTAATAACTGACAGGACTGATTAATTTCAACATCTCTTATAGTAACTAAAATAGACCACAATTTTTGCAGAAAAGTGGTTTCTGAATGCTAAATCAAATACTTCATATGTGATTGCCATCTAACTTGGATATGTGGTCACACATATTAAGAGGAAGGTCCCTTTGAATTTGAAGTCACTAGTACTTTTGTCTAAGGTCAAGGTCATAGTTACTATAAATAGATTGTAAGACAATATTACTGTCTAAAATCATAACAGAAATGCATTATACCTTACGTAAACAGAAAAAACTATGACATCAAGTCATAATCAGCTTTTTCCCCCTTTATATGGAAGAGGGGGATATGTGATCTTGCTCACTTAAGGTTTTTATACAACCGCAAAAATTTGTGGCTGTATATTTTGTATTGCGATGTTGTTGTCGTCATCCGAAGACATTTGGTTTCCAGACAATAATTTGAGTATACATGTATGGATCTCTATGAAATTGTACCACTAGGTTCCATACCACAAAAGGAAGATAGGGATTGATTTTTAGGGTTATTGCCCTATCTGCCTAGGAATAAGGGGCCAAAGAGGGGTAAAAAAAGAGCAATTTTTTTTAACTTTGTTTGAATTGCTTATTTCTGACCAATATCAATGGGGTTTAAATAAACTTGGAATATTGGGGTTCTTTGATATGCTTAATCTTACTGTGTATTTACAATTTTGTTTTGGGCTGTAATTCCATTGCTGAAATTGTCAGTCCACTTCACTTCTTGTAGTGTTTGCCCTTGAATGATGATTTTTACCCACTCTTGTGATGTTTGCAGAAACTATAGCTATATAGGTAGAGAGAAATTATCACCAAAACATGCAAAATTAGGTCTACAAGTAAGTTCACATTGCAAGTCTACTCCTTATAGCAGTTATTGCCTCAAATGATGATTTTCTTTCAATTTGAGTGTTATAATTTTGAACAGCAAAATTGATCAGCAACAAAAAATCTTTTAATAAGTCATATGAATAAAAATCATAAGTTGTTGCCCTGAAATCACAATTTTAACCATGTTAACCAAGTTCTTTCGTTTTTGCTTATTATTTTGAAAATTATAATGCATATACAGAAACTTGGTCCAACAAGAAGGATATTATGGCCAACAGTTTCCTTGCAACACAATAAATTTTAGATGATGGTACAATGAATTTTATGCAAAAATGCTAGGTGAGCGACTCCTTGGAGCCTCTGTTTGAGTTCATTATTAACAACATGTACTTAAAAATACATTAATTGTTTTACAATAAGTGTGTTAAAAAGTATAATAACAAAAATACCAAACTCCAAGGAAAATTCAAACAAATGGAAATGCAAATTGTACATGAATATGCTACACAAAAGGGAAATTTTGGCCCCTGACATTTCAAAACTTAGAATTTATTAGAGTTAAACATGTTAAAGGAAATATGTTGCCAAATTTCACATTTATTTTAAGCTTTATTATATAAACATTTTACATACATGTACCAAAGTAAATATCTAGCCAACATAACTCAGAAACTGTAAGAGCTGCATAAAACCTTTTAAGTATGCCAGGAGGAATACATCTAACATATCTTACAATCTAATAAATCTTGATGACATTATTTAAAACAGTTCAAGCTATTAGATATATTAAAAAATTCTTTTTTTTTCGGGCCCAATTTGGCCAAGATACCTCAACAACTTTGAAAGATCTGTTGTTTGAAAAAAAAAAAATATTCTAAATCATAATCAAAATTTTCATTTGGAATCCAATGGTTGGAAACTGGTCTTTTTTTGTCAGAAACAGGAAAAAACCAAAGCTTATAAAAAACTTGTACTTTGTACTAAGCAAAATTGTTTTAAAATAAGAAAAAATGTGTCAACAGAAAAATAATAATTGCAAATTGACCTATGTTGCACAGATACCAATGCTGAATACCTAACCATATTGCTGAAGTTTTTTATAGTTGGGTAGGTAGTGCAAGTTTATTTAGTTCAAAATATCTAGGGGGAAATTAGTATCTCTTTAATATTATTTCAAAATAGTGGTAATTACAATACTATAGAAATAAGGATATGTGGTGAGAGTGCCAATTAGACAACTATCCACCAGAGATCAGTAGTCTTGGAAGAAAGCAGTTTAGTCTTTTGAATGATGAAAAAGGGGGGAAATTGTACATACATATAAGCAATATCTATCCTACAACATTAGGTTTTAAATAGATAAATAAGTTATATAATGATTGAAATGTGTGATGTGGATTCATTATTATTTGTTGGATACCAATATCCGTGAATTTCGTGGTTACAGGTGAACCATGAAATTAAATGCTCAACGAATGACAAATTTTCTATAGGTTTGTATGCAGACTTCGGCAAAACCACGAAATTAAATATCCATGAACATGTAATTTTTGCTATATCCACGAAATTTGGTATCCACGAAAATAAATGAATCCACAGTATGAGATACAAAAAAAGAACAAGGCAATCAGACAAAAATCTCGTGTATTTCTAGAAATTTCAACTAATCCTGATCAAACATGTCAAAGGAACACCACCTTTATCACCTTGGAATGTTGGAAATCAGAGAATGAACCACACTTTATTAAAAAAATTACATTATTATACTTCACTTTAAAATGCAACATTTTGATTGGTTAATAAGAGTGAGACATTCTACTTTATCCCATGGCTTTATATTCTATTACCCTTAGATGCTTGATCATTTGTGTGCTTTATTATTATAAAAACTGATGGTTGTTATGTAAATGGCCTCATAGCTTTTTACTTTCAATTTAAAATTTAAAAGACACTTATAACATAAAATTCAGTATAATAAATTGAATAACACATAGCTGAGGGGGTGAAAGAGCCGATTGTTACCCCTCGAAGAAAACATTGTCAACTTTGGCTTTGCCTGAATTTTTCTCTGGGTAACGATCTGCTCTATCATCATCTCAACTGTATGTTATTTATATAGTGTAAACTGACATTTATTTTTATGTAGACTGGACTAGCGAAACTTAATTTTCATCTCAAAAATTTTAATAAATAAAACATTTTTCCATTGTAGAGTTACTTGCAGAACATACAGGAAAGATTTTCACCTTCTCTGAAGCGACATAGTCACACACCCATCCCAACAGAACCAAGTCAAACAGAATTAGATAGTGCTAGTACAACTCTTACACAGATTACATGATATACTACAAACATTGACAAATAGTCTTTTAAATGTTATCTGATGTAAAGCCAATAACAGTGCTGACTGAGAGTAGCCATTTCATATGGGAGCGTTTTTGTAATATGTGTTTATTTCTGAGTGCAAACTGACAATTGAAATTCAAACAGAAATATTACATGTGCTTGGTTGTACAAGCAGTTATTTTGGAAATTGAAAGAAATGTTGAAATATCTAAATTGAATGATTAAAAGAGAAAGTTTATGCACGTATTATTAATATTTACCAGTAAAATGGCTAAAACTAACAAATAGGAATTACACAAATATACTGTTACTATTCATACAAATCAGTTTTTGTGTGGAAAATATTAATGCATGAATTTAAAAAACAAAAGAGTTAATAAAATCTAGTAAGTATAAAATTTATTTCATGAAATAAAATCCATTCATCTCCTCAAAATTCTCAAACAGACAGCATAGTCAAATTATTTTTATGGTAAGCATGGTAAGATGCCATTTTACAAGAGAAATTGAGGAGACAAGTTAACTAAAGTGATATTCATCTCCTGGTATCTTGTTTTTTGTTTCTTTTATGGGACTATGGTAATTGTTAAACCTTACTTCAAAATTCTGAAACTGGAAAAAACTTTTTTATGATCATTATGTTCAATAAACAGTTAAAGGTTATTTACTGTACAGTCCACTCTCCTTACCAAAAGTCCTTGTGTGCAGAGTCTAGGTGAGATGTCCATAGTTAGACAAAGATAATCAAAGGGACACAACTCAAGAATAACTATTAATGTCGAAAACACACAAGATTCATAATTATTTCAAGTTTGGATTAAATATTTTTAGAGTATTTACTTTGTGTAATTTTATTTTCTGTTATTTTAGTCCTTATTATAGATAATACAAAAGTTAAAAGCTGCTGATTGAAAATGTTTTGAGTAGCTGACTTAATCCTTATTTAAGACACACCAAGTATTGCTGTTGCTTCTTCAATCTGTCTCCTGTAGTTATTTAACTTCAGATTGATTACAGCATGTTCTGTGAGATTTTAATAGGTATTTGAAATGATATCCAATCAAACATAATATCCATGCAACAACACTCTTCATTTCATTTACTAAAACAATGGAATAACTGGAAATTAGATGATTGCTAAATGTATTGTTGAGGCAGTTTAGTCACAAATGTCTTCCTTTGATTAGTGTTGATTGATTTGAGGTTACAAACTCAAACTCTATACACTTTTTTCTTAACTTTGGAACCATTTTGAATCAAATCAATTGAAATTTCAATAAATTTATTCTTATAAAACTAATTTTGGGATCACAGTAAAAACATTTTTAACTTGTCCAATGTTAAGTCAGCTAAATTCAAGACAATGAGAGATAACTCTATTTGAAAATGATATAACATTAATTTGATTTTAATAATTTTTTCTATATATATTTTGTAAAATAGTTGCAAGATTTTGAAAATATTTTTGCTTGGTTGTTAAGATTTGTGGATGTTAGAACATATGATGATTGTATTTGCATAATAAACGTCAGGGTACTGTAGACTGAAAACAAGATCTCATTATAAGATTTAGGTTAGTTGCAAGTCTACATTAGTTTATTGTATATTGAACATGTTATTATACCGGTATCTATAATTACAAAAAAAGTAGTTTAGTTAGAGAAGTAACTCCAAACATGTTGAATGCATTGTTTGAGAATTGCATACTGATAATGATTCTCTAAAAAATTTTTGAAGAAGTTCAAACCCTACAGTAAGTTTGAAAATTTGTACAAAGGCTTTATTTTATGCTTAAACATTAATTCTTCTGTCTATTCAGCTTTCTTTGCAATAGTCTTTTTTTGTTTCGCAATATTTGTTGTGTTGATCTGATTTTAACATAAACCTTCATTGATCTCATTTTGTCTAATGTGTGTATAAGCAATGTAAAAACATTCCTTCATAGATTAAATCATACTTCATGTTTAATAACATCATGACTTTCCAGATTCCAGTTTGTACTTAAGTAAATTTCATCATGCATGTACCCATTAGGAAAAATCTTCCTAGTGTTTTAATTTTTGTGCTTCAGGAAAATAAATCCTTATATAAATGAACAACAGAAAGATACTAAATCAAATTAAACAGTTCCCAGAACAGTGTTAGATATGTTCTTACAAAGTGAGACTCCTGTCAAAGAGATTCAGAAATGTTCCAAATGTATGGGAAATGAGGCCAAAGCAACCAACTTATAAAGGGTGAGGTATTTTGGTCTCACTGTACCTCTAGGGTTAGAGCCCATGCATGCCTCTTTTTCTAGGATTAATAAAGATTTAACACTTTTGAAATTTAATATCGTTAAATGGTTATGAAAAACCTTAATAGCCATCAAGAGGATAAGACTGTACACCTCAGGCACCCATAGGTTTCTTGTCTTCTCTTCTCTATTTAAGTTTAAAGACATTTAGAGATGTAATTCAGTTTCTTATATAAGGAGAACATTTTAAATGCTGTAGTTATTACAACATTTATTATAAAATATAATTTATATATATTGAGAATATGTTGAAAGGAACATCAACAGTTCAACAAAGGTTGCGTTTAACTAAGTACTCATATACATGGTATAGTCTTTCCTTTGTATGATTCTTGTCTTAGGTAAAATTAAACATGGAATCTCATGAAAACATCAGTAGTTTGTCATTTATTTTTGTGTTCTGAAAATAAGGTTAGGCCATTTTTTTTTTGTAGACATGACAATTAAATGTATTTGTATAAATAATTATTGTTTTATGTTGAACATCATTTTAAATTGTTAAATATTGTTCTTTTTGTATCTTAAATTTGCATTGTACCAGAAAGGTCTTAAGTATTTGACAACACTTGTAAACAGTTAACTGCATTGATAGGTCAGATCAGTTATGTACAATTTTAACATTGATAAATATGATGACATTATTAAATTGTGAGTCGTTACTTCACATGAAGCCTTATCAAAATATTTATTTTCATCTCATCTGGCCCATAGGACCAGGTGATCTATTGCCATCACTTGGGGTCCTTCGTTGTCTGTCTTCGTCATAAATTTTTTCAAAGATGTTCTCCTCTGAAACAACTGATACAATTTCAAACAAATTTGTGGTTAATGATCTTAGGCTATAAAGTATAAAATATTTGTTTTTTTCCCAGTCAGTCAACAGACATGGCCACCATGGTTAAATATAGAACATAAGGGTAAAATGCAATAATTGTCTTATATCTTGCAAACTATAATAGATAGAGAAAATCTGACATAGGCTAAAGTGCTCCAAACGTGTCAAGATCTACATACTTCCTGATTGGGCCAAAATTATCAATTTCTCCTTAAAGAGTTATTGAAAATGAAAGCTGTTCTTGTCCTTTTTGGAGGGTTTATCTGACTTTGACCTCACTTTCATAGATCAGTGATAATGTTAAGTTTTTGTAATACATGTAGTACGACCTTGATCTTATAGACTTTTAAACAATTAAACATAGTCATAAGTAATACACCAGGCAAGACATTGTAACATGGTCACACTTATATCCTAATTTTCTGAGGTTATGACATAGAAATGTTTTCTGTAGAGATAAGAAACACACTGTACACAATAAGTAAGATCCTTGGTGAAAAGATTTAAATGCCTAATTCACATTGATATTCTTTATTGTTTTGAGAATGCATATTTTACTACTAACAAAACTAAAATGGCAGTCTGGAGCATAACATTATGCAACAGATGGTGCAGAAGTTTTCAACTTCTTTGATTATTTTTTTCATCACTATAATTGCAAAATCTAATATAAAATTATATGGTTGTATATCCATGTTGAGTTAACAACAGTTACGTCTAAATATAAAAAAGATCAAAATTGAAGTGAAAAAATTAAATTGCATAAACATCACACTTGAAATATCAGTAGGTTTTGGTCTAATGCAAATAGACTAAATTATACAGAGATAAATATTTATACTTATGGTGACTAATCACTATATGCTCAAGGGGCCATTTGAAGAGTTGCAATCAGTTTGTGACTGTTATTGTCTATGACTGAATATTTGAAAGATGAAATAATTTGTGAAACCCCTGAATCAGTTTGAACCAAACATTGAAGAGTTATTACAAATGCATTCCTAGCAAATATTCATAGATTGATTCTTGGTTGATATTACTATTAATATACAAGGTTTCTGTAACTTTTTAAAACTGCTTAAATAAATCACTTATCAATCATAACTCTACACTATCATGATTCATTGGAAGCTATTGTTTAGATAAAGTTTTGTTATAATTTAATTTCAAAATTCTACCTCAACCAAGATTGTCACCCATCTGACAGGTTGAACCTTTCTTGCATAGGAATATATCTAGAAAAGAATGAATTCTCATGTTATTTGAAGTGATACTTTCCATCGGACGATTGACAGAAATTTTAAATAATTTAATCCTGGTTGACAGGGCTGCAAAGGACTTCCAGGGTTGTATGGTGTAATCAGGTGTGTAGCAAATTACATTGCTACAATTAAAAGGGACATGTTTTAAAACGCTTTAAGTAGCAACCTTATGCTTGTAATCTTTTGTCAGGAAAATGCAGATATATATGTATATACATTGTTTTTACAAATCTGTAGAGTTGAAAATGGATAATAGAACATAATATTAGCATTTCTTCCTTTGACAAAGTAAATCCTAGGGTAAGCTCTCTTTTTGGGATCAATTGTCTCCTTAATTAGTTTCATCAGGTTTACTGTAAATACATCAGCATTATAAATTGTTATACTGTGTTAACTTGTTGTGTAAATACAAGTTCTAATTCAAATAAAAAAGTCAAATTTTAAAATAGTTGTTACTTGTTACTCAATATTTTTCTTGTATTTATTGAGGTTGTTTTTGAGTGATTTTATCACATAAGAACTTTGTTAATAGCTCAGTTATCCAGCAGGACTAGTGAGCAATGGCCAGTTCATTCTATCTGTGTATATCTTTGTTCTTCATTCTTTAATTAAAAAATATTTTTCTCTAAATTAGTTTGAACCAAAAATGTTTTAAAAAATATGGCATTCATTCTGTGCACATGTTCCATGCAAATAATTCTGCCAAATCTAGTAAAGTAGTATATCCATTGATTTGAGTCCTCAACCAGAACACTGTCAGTATGCCGCGATATAAAAGTAAAATGCAAACAATATTATGTAGATCACAGAATCCATTTAGAAATGGTTTATCTGTGTCCCCTTTTGGATATTGCCAGTTGACCCATCATAAACAATTATTGCTGCCATTTTTGTACCCTGCTGTGTGAGCTGTGGTGTCATAGTAATAGTCTTCTTATAGATGGTTTGACAGCAAACTCTTACTAGAACTTTGGTGGGGACTTTTGTCGTCATAAATAGTTGAACATACTGGACTTTCATTTAGATTTAGATTTGACATTATTCACTGGAGATATGAGACTTTTACATTTTTGTCTCTCCGGCAACAAAGATCACAGAATGCAAGACATAGGGATGCTAACTATTTGTAAAGAACTTTATATTTCAGAGGGTAACAGACTTGGATGCTTCATACCTTTTAAACAGATGCCTAATGTTATGAAGTTTAAGTTTGTCTTATGACCATCGTCCTTGACCTCATTTTGGGGTAAATAAAGGCAACAGTAGTATTCCGGTGTTCAAAAGTCAAAAATCGATTGAGAGAAAACAAATTCGGGTTACAAACCAAAACCGAGGGAAACACATAAACTATAAGAGGAAAACAAAGGAACAACAGGAACACCGAAGTGCAACAAAAACAAACGCCAACACAAATAGAAACGAACTATTTGAAAACAACTGCCATATTCCTGTCTTGGTACAGGACATTTTAAGAAAAAATGGTGGGTTGAACCTGGTTTCATGGCATGCCAAACCCCCCCTCCTTATGACAATGTTAAAAAATATCGCTAAAACACTACGTGATAGAAATACAGCACAAACACACGCAATAACATTCATAACAGAGAAACGCACAAACAAACAATATAATAGTCGACTAAATATGCAAACCACATAACAACAACGAACATATTCCACCAACGAAAAACCCCACAGGATATCAAAAACAGTGACGCGCTTACATAACTAACATGCAATCTCGAACTTTATACAATTATTTTCACAATATTCGTCCAAACAATTTTCATGACAATGTTGGTATGGAAAGGCAATTTTATAACTATTTGGACTACAAACGATAAGACATAACAGATTATCAAACCGAAACCATAACAGAAACATCAAAATAAATCCATGAATGTTGGATGTACAAAACACCAAGACACACCGCACAGCAATGCAAATTCACATTCAGTATAACAGTCATATTTGGGAATATGACAATGATGGTATTGAAAGGCAATTTTATAATTATTTGGACAACAAACGATACGATATAACACATTATTCAACCCAAACCATAACAAACACATCATGAAATGCAACCAAAGCCCTTATACTACTGGCTTGATATATCTTCCAGGGTTTATCACTTCCTTTGCTAGTTAAAACAACATAGTGTAGTGAAGTAGAAATTCTTTATACAGCCAATGCAATTTCTTAATGATATGTTATACTCAGATATTCAAGTTACAAAATGATGTTTATTAAATAACTATACTTGTCAAAATATTATTTGATTAAAAATTACATAACCCTGTGTTCTTGGCTCAACAACACACAGCTCGATTGGGCCAGGCCAAGATCCCAGGCTTAAATTACATAAGTTGTGTAAGGCGTATAAATCTGTTATAAAACTTCAAATTTACAATAATGAACGAAGGAAGATAACTCCAATTCAAAATATATACTTTGCCTAGATGTGTTCAAAATTGCTACAATTCAATGTTTAACTTTAAGTTCACATTGCAAAATGAAAGCATCTTTGACGGGTGCCACATATGGAGCAGGATCTGCTTACCCTTACGGAGCACCTGGGATCACCCTCAGGTTTTGGTGGGGTTCGTGTTTCTCAGTCTTTAGTTTTCTATGTTGTGTTTTGTGTACTATTGTTTGCCTGTTTGTCTTTTTCTTTTTTAGCCATGGCGTTGTCAGTTTATTTTCGACTTTGAGTTTGAATGTCCCTTTGGTATCTTTCGCCCCTCTTTTGCCCTTCAGTGCTTATTAAGAATATATTGGGTATATGCGACCCTTGTATTGTACTGTATTCATGTCTGTCAACCAGGGTTTACCTGTATGAGTGACCAAGGTTAAGTTTTAGTGGTCAAGTCTGTATCTCAGACACTGTAAGCATTAGTCAACTATATTTGGTGTATGGAATGATTGTAAGGTTCGTTTGTCTGACAGGTTTCATCTGACCTTGACCTCATTTTGATTTTTATTAGTTAATGTATGTTTGGTCTGTTTTTTAGAAGCGATAAGTGATAGCGCAACTATAATTGGAGTATTGGATGATTGTAAGGTGCAGAAATCTGGTTAATGTTGTTTTTGTGATTTAGTTTGTTTCTTAGGTACTAAAAGCAATAGGTCAACTATATTTGGTGTATGGAAAGATTGTATGTCTGTCTGGCAGGTTCATCTGACCTTGACATCATTTTAATGGCTTAAAAGTCAGCGTTAAGTTTTCCTGGTTAGGTTAGGTTCTCAGATGCTACAATACAAATTAAAAGGTGAAAAACAATTGGTGTATGAAATTTTTGTAAGGCATATATATCCTTCTTATAGGGTTCAATTTTATGTAATACTTGTAGTATAACCAATTCTCATAAAGACTTTCAACATTAATTCAATTATGATCATTAATGCAGGCGAAACATTTTTTAGGGTATGCACTCTTATTTGGACTAAATTATTACACACAGACACCTAATAAACACAACTCCTTTGAAATTGTTTGAAAAACACTATTGCACTGTCATTTTGTTTTGACAATTCTTGCAAGAGAAATTGGACCGACCACTTTTTTGCTCATCTTACCCATAGGGTAAGTGAACTTTTTTCATCATTTGGCGTCTGTTGTCATTGTCCGTCGTTGTTGTCTGTTAACTTTTACAAAACTCATCTCCTCTGAAACTACTGGGGGTCAATTGGAACCAATCTCGGCCACATTCAATGGGGATCTAATTTTTGTCTCCAATGGAATATGGATTACAATCCTGTTGCGGCGGCGTAAAATATTTGTTTTCTGGGTTATATTTCAGAGGATACAATACCTGGAGGCTTCATACCTTGTATACAGATGTCTTATATTACAAAGTTTCCGTCTGTTATATGTACATTGGCCTTGACCTCATTTTCACAATTAAGCGACTGCTTGAAAAAAATGTTTACTGTAAATTCAGATATTACTACATGCCATCTATTATTACGATTTTTGACGAAAGAACAAAAATGCGAGAATACTGTAAACCAACTTATTTTTGCGGATACTTTGTTTCGCGTTTAGCCCTTTCTAGTCCACTTAGGGGCGATTTAATTTCGCGATTTTCTAATTTACTTGATGTAGTTAAATAAGGAAAGATCAAAGTTTTACATATTCGCGACGATTTATATTCGCGTTATTTTTCTACCCGCGAAAGTCGCGAAAATAAATTGCTTGCGAAAATTAGTTGGTTTACAGTAATTATTGCAAATTCAGGAAAATCTGCATGCAGACATATGCATCGAATTCAGAATGCGAATTCTTATTATTGTAATACTCACCCAGTCGCATTATTCGCATTAATAAAAACCTCACAAAAATTTCTTAGTTAACAGTATTTTGTTTGTCATGTGAATTTCTATTTTATATCAGTAATAGAATAACTATATTTCGTTTATGGGTTGCTTGCAAGGTCGACATGTCTGTTAGACAGGATTCACCTGAACTTTACCTCATGTCATGGATTAGTGATCAAGGTTAGTTACATGATTAGAACCATTTCTCAGATACTGTAAGCAGTAGGTCTTCTATTTTTTGTTGTATAGAATGATTGTTAGGTGTATATTTTAGTCTGACAGGTTTCATCTGACCTTGACCTCATTTTCACGGTTCATTGGTTAATGTTTAGTATTTGTGTTTTTGGCTGTATTTCTAATTATATAAGCAATAGGTCATCTATATTTGGTGCATGAAATGATTATAAGGTGTACATGTCTGTCTGGCAGGGTTCATCTGACCTTGACTTAATTTTTATGGTTCATTGGTCAATGATTAGTTTTCCTGGTTAAGTCTGTTTCTTGTATACTATAAGCAATAGGCCAACTATAGTTGATGTATGGTATGATTGTAAAATGTACATGTCTGTCTGACTTGATTTATCTGGCCTTGACCTCATTGTCATGGATCTTAATTTTTCATAGTTTATTCTGTTTCTTGTATACTATAGTTCCCTATATTAAGTGTATGGTATAATTGTAAGCTGTGCACATCTGTCTGGCTTGGTTTATCTGACCTAGACCTCATTGTCATGGATCATTCATAACGTTTAGTTTATGTGTTTCTTGTAGTAAAATTTTATTTTTAGGACTATCAACATAAAATTAATCATGGTTAGTAAAGCAGGTTAGACATTTCAGCGTGTGCACTCTTGTTAAAATATATATTATGATCCAGCCTACTTGCCAACAGGGACGACAATGCTAAAATAGAACATAGGGGTAAAATGTCTTTTATCTTAAAAACCACTTTAGATACAGAAAATCTGACATGGCCAGAATTGTTCAGAAATTTTGAGATAGAAAACTGAATAAATTCTGCAGTTTCTTTCGTTTTCAAGAAAACGTTGCCTATTATGACGTAACATCAAAAATCGTGTGTAATATATTTACCATACTTAAACTAAGCATTTCCAAATATTATTTGCAA